ATTTTATTCTTTAATAAATAGTTTTACATGTTGTTTGTTGAATATAGCTCGAATTTTACCACTACCTCAAATAACATATCGAGGACAAAATAATCAAGAAGTTGTTGAAAACGTTGCATTCGGTAAATGGAAAATTGGAAATCAATTTTGTTCAACGTCGGTTATCAATAAATGGGGTATGATTTATTTTGGTACGAAACCAGATGCAAATATAATCGAAATTCTAAAAAAGTTCGAACAACAGTTACCATCGGTAAGTTAGGAATTCTATTTGACGGTAGAGTATATAATTTGTATTGTTAATTTTAACAGTTACTAAGAAGATATGGTATTGTAATCAATTCAAATCCGATAACAATGGCAAAGCCGAGTCAAAAACATGAGATTGACAATGCATTCGGAAATATTAAAAGTCAAGGTTGGCAATTGGCGATTGTCATACTGAACGAAACAGTAGCACAAGTATACAATTATGTGAAACAACTAGGAAACCAAAAACTTGGTTTAATAACTCAATGCACTAGTTTTCAAGCAGTACAAAAAAATTCACAAAAACTTCATATGTGTAAGTGATTGTATTTTTTTCTACTAGATTTTATTGATGTTAGCAAAATTTTCTTTTTCAGATGTAGAAAATTTAAGTCAAAAAATCAATGCTAAAATCGGTGGCATCAACGGTATTGTCAATTTGAAAACTGCTCTTAGCCAAGCGTCGAAAAATGATCGTTTCATGTTTTTCGGTGCAGATGTAAATATTCAATTTTTGTTTTTCAATTCATTAAAATTGAGAAAGTCCCCAACTAATACATGTCATTTCACTTGTACTTCAAAATACTGAAGTCTCGTTTTTCTCCTTTGTTTTCGAATTTGATAACTATGCTACTAATTCTTCTACCTAGTACAAGGTAAATGAAGACAAATTGAACAAGAGGATTTTAGTTTCAAACTTTGTCTAAATGTTACTCTAACAGTTTCAGTGGAAAAAGAAAACGTTTTTCTTTTGGAGAAAAAAGTTTGTCTAATACTCTCCAAAATCTAGAAAGAACTACACATGGATAAAATTCATTGTAAACAACACGGATTAGTTTGGGATATCTTCCATCTGTCGTTAGATAGATATATATACATTTATTTATTTATTGCTCTAGGTCACTCATACCACTTCGTCAACGAAAAAACCATCGATTGCTGCAATTGTTGGATCATGTGATCCGTCATGTAGCCGTTATGCTGCTCGTCTATGTGAACGTAAATAATATAGTCGATTTTTTTTTGTTTCGAAAAGTATCCTCTTTACGATTTTAGAATATCCAAAAAAAGATCGGTGTTCGATCGAGATTATTAAAGAAATGGATAAGATGATTATCGATTTACTTAAAGTATATGCTCGTTCATGTGGTAATACACTACCAAATCGAATCGTTTTTTATCGTGACGGTGTCGATGATGGACAGTTTCAAAAAGTACTTGATAATGAAGTTAACAAAATAAAAACTGCTTGTCAAGGTAGAAAAAACATTTCTTTCTGTTTAATGAATAGAACAAAAATATTTCTCTATTGAAAATAGTTGTATATGGAAACAACCCATTACCTAAATTAACATTTATTATTGTTAAAAAACGACATAATACGAGATTCTTTGCCT